GGAGAACTTTTAGGGAATTCTCTCTCACTTCTATTCCTATGGATTTTTGAATCTCTTTCAATACATGTTACCTTTGCCTTCACAGAGTGATTATTGCTGTATGTGTGTACATATGTGCATGGTATTTCACTTGCTAATTGGTCTATGGGCGGATTGACAGAATTTTCATTTTATATTGTAGAATTTAGCAACATATTTAAAACATTGGTTATTAAACATAAGCACTATAAAAAGATATGTAAATGCCATGATGAATAATACTAGAGGCATGTTCATGAGCTGAGAGGGTATCAAGTAAGTATGAAGTGATGAGAAAATATCAGAATAGATTTGAAGCAGTGAGAACAGTTATGTGGTTGCTAGGTGGTTATTATAATATCTCAATAGTAAATGGCAAAAGACTTAAAGCATGACCTTGGATTGGAAAAAGAGAGAAATATTAGAAGCATTAGGACAGCTAGATTGGAAAGACCAGTGTTCTATTGGATGAGGGTCTGCTGGAGAGATGACTCGGGTCTCTATCTGGTCAACTTTGGGCAGTCACACAGGGTCTTACACTTCATTCTCTTCTATCAGGGTCTTATAATTCTCAATATTTTTGAACAAGAGAACTTACATTTTTATCCATTATTAAGCATCTCAAATTATATTACTGGTTCTTAGAGATACCATTAACTGAATATGGAATATAAGAATAAGCTAAGTTTTATTCTTGTTACAAGAACATAAGTGACAACTTTAGCTTACAACTGACACTAGACAGTGGGATGTCTGCTCAAGGCCTTCAGCCAGTAGCTGCAGATTTTGGCTTTGCCCCTATCTTAATGGAAGACATCTAGTAAAAGTTGAAGGAGTTGAGATATTTCATAAGAAACCTCTATAGAGCATCCAAGTCCATATGTCCAAAGGACAGAAAGACACATGAGTTTAGAAATCTGAAAAAAATCCAGCTGGAAGAACCACACTGTAGTCACCAGGCTAGAGAAGATGGTCCAAGTCATTGAATGAATGAATAAGCACACTCACGGAGAGGGCACAGAGTAAGCAGAGGGGCAATTCAAATCTTTACCATGAAGGTGACCAATAATCAAGTATAACCAGGAAAAAAGGAGAGAAGACCCAAAAAAGGCAAGCCATGGTGGATGGGATCATGACTTTAAATCAGATTATCAGCGTTTCAGTCCTGGTTTACCACTCATAGAACCATGACACTCAGCTTTATCTTAACTTTTCTGAGCTGCAGTGTCCTCAAGTAAATAATAGAAATAATAATAGTACCTAACTCACAGGGCTGTTGTGAGAATAAAATGAAATGCACTATGGAAAACACTTACCTTAGAACTCAGCCGAGAGAAAAATCAAGGATCATTGGCTGCTATTTACCACTATTATTATTTTACAGCCAATAAAATGAGGAGGAATACATGTAGTGAAAAATGTCAAGGAGAGAAGAGAGTTAAAAAAAAAAGTAGGCAGCAATGTCAGATACCTGAACCGTTCATTAAGGACTAGGAAGTCCCCAATTGAATTTAGGAACAAAGAAATAATTAATGAGCTGGAGAAGAATACTCAGTGTACCAGTACTATTTGGGACTTTACTTATCAATTTAGAAACCAAAACTAAGTATATCTGATGGTGTTATCAGTAAACAAGTGAACTAAAAATTTTTAATTGGGAATATGTTTCTTTCATTTTCTAAATATTCCTTGGTCAATTTCCAAAAGGCTCAAATACCTAGTCTCAAAGAGATGAAGCCCTTTTTGTATACCCATACTTTTATGGGAAAGCTGATTATGGAATCCAGGACTCTGAAACTCCTGGCCCTACTGATAAGAGGGGAAGTTTCTGGGCACAGCCACATTTCCTCTTGGTAACTAAGAAAGACACCATGCTTTAAGTAGGATGTGTCTCTGTGTTCTTTACTGAAGAGTAAATTTGCGGGGCTGGGTCTAAAATGGTACAACTTGGACCAGAGTAAAGCTCTATCTAACATCAAGACCCTAATTCTAAAATATAAAGTCCATAATCTTGGAAATCATTCCTTCTACAAACATTTATTGAGTGGCAGACACTAGGCTTGCTGCTACAGGAAAACACAACATTGGGTTCGATATGGGTTCTGTTTTTTACAATTGAATAGGAAAGATGAGGTGAATACATTTGTAATAATCAAACTAGATAGAATTTGAAATAGGACATTAGCTGATTATAGAATTTTGCAGTGTGAGAATAATTCTAGAAAAGAGTTCTTGGAAGTATTAGCATTTGAGATATGTCTTAAATGATTAGTTCAGCTATGGACACAAAGTATCATGGAAACCAGAGATAGTATAAATGAAGAGATGAAGTAGGTAGCCAAGTGCTGGTTACTTAGGAGCAGCAATTTATTTTTTGAAGTTTTGAGCATAAGTCTTGGGTATGTCAGCTCAGTGAAATGTGAACTTTATCTCATCACCAGATAGGAGCTCTTGAAAATTTTTGTGGCTATAGCTGAAAGAGTCACAGACCAAAGGTACGTTGGTCTAGGGCTTGGGAGCAAGAAAGGTCAAGACTGAATGTGCATATTTGGGGACCTGGGAATAGATTCAAAGTTAATGTCAGATGGATATATTTAAGAACAGCTTTGTAAAGAAATATCTACATATTAAGAGTGAAATAGAAAAAGGAGCAGGTGTGATGTGCATGCATGTAATTCCAGCAACTCAGGAGGCTGGGGCAGGAAGATGGCAAGTTTCAGGTAAGACTCAGCAACTTAGTGAGGCCCTAAGAAATTTAGCAAGACCTTCTCTCACGATAAAAACATAAAAAGGGCTGGGGATGTGGTCAGTGGTATAGTGCCTCTGGATTCAATCCCGAGTACAAAACACAAAAACAAAAACAACATCAACCAAAAAAAAAAAAAAAAAAAAGAAAGAAAAATAAAAAGAGTTATTGACTAGACAGAAAAGATAATATATTTTTCCCAATAGGAAAAACGACCCAAAATACACAATGTTAAGACATGATTTTTAGAATGAAGGGAAACAAATACGAAAAAAAATGAATTTGTTATTATATGTTAGGTGCTTTGGTTGTGATTTCTCATTTGTTCATCATGCAGTGTCTCTGGGATAAACATTACTATTTACTTCAGATGTAAAAACAAAAAATTTGGGATTTCAAGCTGCCTGTCAAAAGGTCACACTGATAAAAGTGATAAAACTGAGATTTCATTGTCAGATCATCTTCCCTGAGTGAGTTAACAGTGGGAAGATCCTATACTGAGAGACAGTAACTCAGGAATGCTGTCAACTCCCAGGATGACATTTGATAAGTCATTTAATTCCCTTAAATCTTGGGTTGTTCGTATAATGAATGAGGGTGTTGTACCATATCATTTATTCTGCAATGGCTCTTTGAATTTTAATATTTTATGATTTTATAATTATGCAATAAATTCATGGGAGGGTGTAGAGGAAATGGATAGAAAATAACATGACTGGTATAAAAATAGAATTGAGTCATCTTTTCATCCGAGATTGAAGGGAAGATCATGAGGATGACATACAAAGATGGAAAATTTTTATTTAGGAACCATAAGAAATCAATCTTCAAGTTTGGTTGGATATTGAACTAAAGGCTAGTGAATAATTGAAAACGGATCTTAGTTGTCTCCTAATGAACCATTAATATGTTAGGCTGCTTTTGGTACACAAACTTCAGAATTTAAACCTGCCTTGGATCTGTTAGAGGAGCTATCACAACAATTCTTTCTCTTCTATATTTATTTTAGGGAAAGGGATGAAGGAGAGATATGTATAGATGAATTATCTTTCAAATAAATTACATTTAAAAAAATTCAGGGTCCATGAGTGAAGGGCAAGACTTCAGAATCTCCCCAGTGCAGGTGTAGGTCCTGGTAGTCATTATGGTGGGCTCCACATTAAAGACAATTGTCACTGTGATGGCACAGATGACAGTTAGCCTGGCAGCCTGATTAGTGAAAGGAGCAATGTTCTGGTATTACCTCACTCTGGTAATAATTACCAGCGCAATACTGGACAGCGCAATTCACATGTGCATGCTTCAGCTTACTAATCTGTAAAATAAAACTCAGTACCTATTTTTACATTAAAACCACTTATCTTGTGGCTGGGGTTATGGCTCAGTGGTAGAGCGCTCACCTCACACGTGCAAAGGCCTGGGTTCGATCCTCAGCACCACATATAAATAAACAAAATAATGCTATAAAAAACCCCCACTTATCTTAATTATAGGTTCTCAAAAGTTATTTGACAAAAGGAGAGGATTGAGTACAATCACTATGTGTCAATTAAAAATGAAAATATTTTTAAAAATATTAGGTAGTTGAATCAATAGATCTGTTCAGGTTAAATTCAAGTTCGTTGGTATCCATTGCTTTATTTGTTATACTCATTTGTTATCCAAGTATAATTTCTTAAAATAAGTTGAAACAAGCATGATATTAGATTACGCTGTTTTAAAACTCATCTGAGCTTCTACTCTGCTGTTGGAATCCTCCCCATTCTGCTTACCATCCACTGCTGACCACCGAAATAACACTGAATCTAACTTCTACTTTTAATAGTTACTGCTTTTGGAGAATAATTATGACCCAGTCGTCACCACAAACCAGATTCCTGTCAGTGTACATGTTTCATCAGGTGTAACCAAAAGTCTATTTTATTTCCCCTTTTCCAAGGTTGAACATATATGGTTCTGTTTTAGACCAATCTTCTCATATTGCATGTGTGAGAATGGGAAGAAGGGATTTTCTTCTTGCAGTGGGTTGTTTGCCTGTTGGTTTTAATCAGTAGTTTTTAATTGTTTACTTATCCTTGTCTGAAAGCAAGTTCAGGGCAGTCTGGAATTCAACCTGAGGGCAAGGTTCTCTTCTGTTGCTGAGACATCACACAACCAAAAATAGTTTTGAAGCTCCCTTAACCTCAGTCTGTGATATATATGGACCAATTGTTTCTTCAGTGGCAGCTTCACTGAAGATACTTCAAGTAAAATATGGAGCCTCAAACAGAAAATTTGAAGACAGCATGGCAGTTGTCTTTGGGAAGCTATTACATTTCTGAGGAGTATGGCTTTCTACTTCCAAATCCTCTGGTAAGCATGGAGTCTTGGATGAGGTTAGAGGAGGTGTCCTGAGATTCTGGTTTATTTGTGTTTTAAATTTATGTCATCATTAAGAGAGAAACAATATAATTTCTAAGTCACTAAACCTAAGAAAGATACTACAAATATCATAGAGTGTAATTACTGACTAGAGAAGTGACAGCTATAGCTGAGGATAGTTTAAATCAAATGCTTTGGTGCTGGTTTCTTTTAATAGATTGTCATCGATGCCAGGAAAATCATAAGAAAATCTGTAGTTAGCAAGAAGAACTCTGAATATCGGTAGAGGATGAATTACATGGACAAATATAGAGCCCTGGGAAGAGTACCATGGTGCTTCTGAGGTGCATTCCATTCCTAAGCAGCTCTGGGACACCACTGATAACCTATTATGTGAATTAGTTTATCTTACTTGCTAGTGGAAGGAAAAGAGAACAAGAGGAACATTAGGTGCTTTCAGAGCTGATTAAAGTGATTAGATGGTATCAGGGATTTCTGAGAAGGAAATTTGAAAACAAACAGTATTTTTTCTTTCAGTGTGCTTAGCAATCCAAACCATAGTGTAATTCTGTCTTATCAGCCAGCTTTATCAATACTGGTTTTCTCCTTAAATATGACCAGAGACATAGACTACTAAAACAGTATTGGTCCCAGGAAACTATCTGGTACAAAACCCCTCTTTTTACCCCTCTGGCTAGTTGAAGTCCAGAGGGGGTGACATAGCCAAAGTCATATTTCTGGAAAAAGCAAAACTGATACTCAGGACACTTGATATCTTTGTTCTATTACACTATAGAAAAAGGGTAGGGTCATTCAGTTAACAAATACAGGGATGATTATGTTGCAATCACTGTAACAATTTATTGAACAAACAACTTGCCCCAGCCTAATTTGCCACTTTTTAAGATTAAGTAATTGTCTGGAATTCAAAGAGCTTTTATCAAATACCTATTCTGATGTTTGCTGATTTTTTTTTTGCTTCTGAGTGTTACTGGAAGCATTTAAATGAAGATAAGAATTAAATGCTCTGTACAGCATCAAGTCACAGACCTACAAGTACTTGGCATTGGCAGTACAGGGTGTTTTAGATGGATAGGTTTGCAGTCTGGATTACTGTATTGTGTTCTCTGATGCTTCCACTAGGATCACCAACTTTCTTTGTGCTAAATGAATTCCTGTGATGCAGGACTCTCAGTTGTAAGCTACGAAAGCCCTGGAAAAATCTGAAGGAGTCAGTCACTATATCTTGTTCTTACTAATTCTTATGACTTGGGTGACTTACAAATATCACCTGACCCTCAGTTTTCACATGGATGGAGATCTGCTGTATGGATATAAATACACTGTGAAGATTTAGTGTGAGTTCTAGAAACCAGTTCTCCTGATCCTTAGATCAGTGCTTGTAACAACTCCATTCCGTGTGAATAACTATAGTCAAGGATGCTCCCATCCTACCTAGTCTAAAAGGAAGGAAAGATAATTAGCCAACATGATCTTGTTGAGGTTAAATATAAAAAAAAAATGAGCTCAGGAAAAATATTACAAAGCTGGCAAACACTGGGTGGAGCCACAATTGTAGAGTTCCTCTCTTTGTTGTTTCCTTTTTTAAAAAATAAATATTGGAGCCAGATGAGAAACAATAACAACATCAAGTTCTCATGACATTCTGAGTCAGATAGAATTGTGGTGTGGTTTGGTTGATGGATAACCCTTAGAAATTTCCATTCCTGAGCTCACGTAAAAAATTCCCTGGTCTTAACTGTCAGAGTCATACTTCCCAGATCTCTTAAAGTGTAATTCTTTGTTTCACTTTTAATTTTCTTTCATTCGTGCTGAGATTTCAAGCATCTCCTTTTCTGGGAAGAGATAGAGGAAGGAAATTTTCTTGAGAATCTACCCCAAGTTGCCCCACAGATCAGGAGACTCAGTCCCCAGCATCACCAGGGGCAGCACTGTTGCAACCCATCACAAACCAGGTCAGCAGTCAACACCTCTAGTCAAGAGCACAACTGTGCCTTGCTTTCCTCCCACTTAAGAGCAAGTGTTAGGAGGGGTGTTTCTCCATGTCAGCTGGCCTCAAAGGGGTTCATCTGGCATCTCTTCCAGGTGGACTTTGGGTTTGGTACTCTAAATGCTTATTTGAAAGTCTCTCTAAAGAACTTAATGTATAGGAAAATATTTGGCTTTGGGGGAGAAGGCTAACTTGGTTTCAAATATTCTAACCTGCTGTTTTCTATAAATTCTCAAACATTTCCAAGTTCCAAAGTTTCAGGTTGGACAACTCTGATAGCTATAAATCAACCACAGAAATCCTTTGCCAGATCATGTTTCCTGTGTGTGTGTGTGTGTGTGTGTGTGTGTGTGTGTGTGTGTTGGGGGGGACTATTTCCTTTAGACAAAGAACATTGGAAATTTAGCTTCCCAGGAATGGAGGGATCAAGAAAGATAACAGCTGGAGACTAGATTGGAGCAGAACTTGAATACTGCATTCTGGAATTTGTATTTAATATATCTGGTGAATAACATGTACAGATGGCATTTCAACAGTTTCCTCAAACAATGTTAAGGGTGGGGTAGTTAAAAAAAAAAACAATGGTTCCAGGGCTGTACTGCAAAATTACTTAGGGTGTTTTAAAAAAATCTCAGTGCCAGAGATTGATATAATTAAGAATCTATCACCTATTTGACCTTAATACTCAAATACCAGCTTAAGTGGAGGACAATGGGAGACCACCACAGTGGTCAAGGTGAAAGATAGAGGGCTACACCTATGAGGTCAACTTGGAAATAAAAGTGTCTTGGCTAGAAGAAACACTGCAAAGAGCTTGAAAGCAGTTTAAAAATCAGGGAAAAGAGACATTTTACATGAACAACTTGGGCAGAAGAAAAGGACTGGTATAAGTAGCCACAAGGATGTTGGGTACTTTGTTTTTAATTATGATTGATCAATCTTTCAGGAAAAAATGAATACATCCATGTTCTCTTGTAGAAACACAAAACACTTGATAGAAGCTGTGGACTCCAGCTAGTTAGAACAAAGTGTAGAAAATTATTTGCCACAATAGGCTCTAGCTTCCAGATAAGGAGTACATGGCAAGAGCTCAGACATTTCCCTAGAAAAAAAATGTTATACCATTGGTAGTTTCTGGGGCATCTCTGATCAGGCTGAATGTGGATTGGAGACAATAATGGTACCATAGTAGACACAGAGACAAGAAGATCATATTTAATACTAGTTAATACGCAAGTTTTAAAATATGTTTGGGGCTGGGGGAGAATGTAATGGATGAAATATAGATTTTGTGCCAATATTAAGAGAAAAGTGGATAGAGACAAAGGGGAAACAGATAGGCATGAGGAAGTGGGAGCAGGGACAGACAATCCTCTACAAACTGAAATGTTGAATACTGAAGCAACTTAAAATGTTTTCACCTAGGTGGATAAAAAAACCTGAGACAACATGAGGAAGGGTGGATAGGCTGATGGATCCTAAGAATGAATGAAGAAATCAATCATGGGAAAATATGTGCCCAATACTTTCAGCCAACATGAGGCTCAGGGAGTGTTTTGGGTTCCTAGGTCAAACCGAACAAATTACCACAGCCTGGGTGACCTAAAGCAGCAGAAATTTCTTCTCTCAGAATGCTGGAGAACAGAAGTCTGAAGTGAAGGTGTAGACAGGCACGTACTTCCTCCAGAGACTCCAGGGGAGAATATTTCTTTTTTTCATTTTTTTTATTTCTTTCTTTCATACATGACAATAGTGGAATGCATTACATTCATAATCATCCATTCATAGCACAATTTTTTATAACTCTGTATATAAAGTATGTTCATGGAAAATTATGCCACTATACATGAGCTCTCTTATTAATTTTTTTTTTTTTTGCATTACAATTCTTAATTTTCAGGTTCTGAGGGCTTCAGATATTTCCTGGCTTCAGGTTGCAGAACTCCCAATCTTTGCCCCCATCTTATAGGTCCTTCTCTGTGTCTGTATCTTTCCTCTCTGGTGTCTTCTCTTATAAAGACATTTAGTCTTTGGATTTAAAACCCATCCTAATCCAGGACAATCTCACCTCCAAAGACTCTTTTCCAAATTAGTCTATAATTCATTTCCAATGAACCTGTATTTTTTTTAAGTGAGGTGTAGAGACAGGTACCATTCAACCCACTACAGGAAGTGGGAAGAAAAGATGAAAGGTGAGAGGGATACAGCAACCTGAGCAATGAATTTAGATACTATAATATTTAATGAATTTAAATATTATCTTGTTCATAGATTCCCCAAACTGAGTTTATAGGTATTAAAAGGGGAAAGAGAATTAAAATTGAAAATGAAAAATATAAAATTGTCTATGAAAAGCTGAGGGTGTATCTCTGAGTATTAGAATGTTGTCTAGCACCCATGAGGCCTTGATCCTTAGAATAATAATAATAATAATAATAATAATAAATTAAAGAAAAATAAATCAAATGGTGAGGAAACACAGGGATAAACAGTGTATAGTTGACTTGGTTAGTGTTGTTAATTCAAGGAATAAGTTTGAGTTCATACTTTCTTCATAAAATACATCAAATGCCTTCATATCTTTATCTGTACCCTGATATATTTTTATATATCAGTACAGATTCCAAGATCTCTGGACTATAGACCATTTGGTGAGCCATTTTAAATTACATTTTTTTATTTCCTCCATGCTTATTGTTCATTGAGGATTCCTACTTCTAGACAAAATTTTCAACTTTCACAATTTCTGAAATGGGGAACCCAACTGAAATTTTTGAAGGTATTGCAAAACTTACTCACGGTATTCTTTTTCTTATTTGCTGCCATATCCTTTTTGTAATACATAAAAAAATTGAAGAAAGTTCTTACTTTGTACTTGGCTCTGTGTAGGGAAGTAAACTTTGCCTACCTCTTGCTTTCATCTATTCTTCACAGTAATCTTCACCATTTAGAAATATTCCATTTGTTAATGGATTCAACT